GAATAACAGCCATGGGGAAACTCATATCCATTCCCCCACTCACTCCATTATGGCTCCTTGAAATCTCTGAAGTAGCAGAATTCTCAGACGACATGGTCAAAACAGACAATCAGTCCCAAACACCGAACTTAGGACCCCTCCTTACTCCACAAAAAAAAATGCTCCACTCAGTCCACACCCACACACTTGGGTTTGAAAGAGGAAGAGAAGAGAAGAGAAGAAAAGAGAAGGGAGAAGAGAAGAGAAGGGATTGGCAATGTAACAGTGCTGGCGGCGCCAGCATTTATTATAATATATATAGGGCGGCAGAAATAACAAGGGAAAAGACCCTTGTGCCCCTGCTATAAGTGAGTACAATAACTGACATAACAGAAGTAAAAAAATAGAAAAAAAAACGCTTTAACTAGCCAAACAGACCCTAACACCAACAACTAAATTATTTCAACACTTTCTTTTTAGTTTTTTCTTAAGTATAATTATATTATTTAATATAAAAATGAATTTGTAAAAAAACCTGTGAACAGGTGTATTGGGGCCCAAAGATATGATACTATGTGCTCTGTATCGGCCCAAAGCTAAGGAGTTGAACATCAAGAAACTCTTAATTGAAGGGGTTATAAAGGTGATGATAGGGTGGCTGATTAAAGATCACAATGGCTTATGGAAGTACAATAATGAGAGGAGGAAATTCAAGTGGCCGGTGCGGGAGATGGAAGTTAAGATACTTTGGGTTAAAAGATCGGCTAATTCCCTAGCGGACGGTTTAGCTAAACAAGGGGCAGAAAGGGATTCACTTTTTTGGGCTAAACTGTAACTATAGTGTGTTTTCTTTATTTTTTTCTTTTCTTGAGGTTCTTTGTTGCTCTTGGAAGATAAGCGTGTTTGTCTTCCTATTGTATATCTTCTTTTGATGAGTTAATGAAAGTGTTATTGATCAAAAAAAAAAAAAAAGAAGGAAAGATCTATTGAAGAACTGACTGACATTATCTCTTTTAAAGTAGTGCACTGGGCTAAGACTCTAGACATTTCTTTCTGATTTTAGAATGGACGATATCCTTAGAAACTGGAATCAAGTGGCTAATTCCGCTCCTTGGACAGTGAAACCAGTAGTTAGTTGGGTATCTCCGCCTTCGGGACCTCTAAAACTTAACTTTTGTGGGTGCAATCTGGGTAACTCTGGCCCCTTAGGCATAGGTGGAGTAATCAGGGATGAACATGGCAACATTCTAGAACTATTTCCACGTCTGTTGGGGGTATGAAATGCAATTTGGGCAGAGACTTGGGTAGCACTCACAGGCCTGAGGCGGTTGAAATCTTTGAACTTGATAGAGGTGTAAGTGGAAGGAGACTTCAAGAACAGTCATAGCTTGGCTGAAAGATGATCAAAAGGTGGCTTGGAGCTTCAGATATGTGTACAGAGAGGTGAGAAAACTATTAGAGGACCTGCAGGCACAAGTAATGTGAACTCCAAGAGCAGCCAATGGAGTAGCTGATGTATTAGAAAAACAAGGGATCAGTTGTATTGGGGCCAATTTGTTTGAGTTTCTTGTTTCTTTGGGTGGTTAACCAAGGCTAGCCTCCTATTTTGGGTTCTCCTCTCTTGATGTGTATCATTACCTCTTTTATAATTAATAAATATTTTACCATTACTCATCAAAAGAAAAAATGAATGATCTTCATAATGTCTGTTCATTCAATAATGCTATGTATATATGTATCTCTCATCAATGTATCTGTTGGTTTTTTTTGTTTCTCCTGTAGGTTATTGTAAAAAGTGGTGATGATTGTAGGCAGGAACATCTTGCTGTGCAACTAGTTTCTCACTTCTATGGTAGGTGTTTTGTCTTTTTCAAATGATTATATCAGTTTTCACTGTCTTTTGTCACTATGAGTCTACAATGCTTCAAGGAACATACTCAACTCAACTAAGCCTTGTCCCAACTATATGGGGTTGGCTATATGACTCCTGTTCTGTCATTCTGTTATGTCAGTGCCATATCCATTGTTAAATTTTGGGCCCTTAAGTTATGAGTTAGGGGCCATAACTTGGTTGAAATGGTAAAATCTTGGGCTGGCAATTGTGGGAATGCGGGTTCGAGTCTGAGGGCAATCAGTTTGTGTGGAAAAAAATGCAAAGTTTGGACTGTTCCCAGTCTACCCCTTCCAAGGCCCCAAACTATATTAATCTACTCCTTCATTTTATCCTATTGGAGCTACTCCTAGGTTCCCTTGAATAAGTTCATGTTTGATCCTATCCTATCTAGTTTTCCCACTTATCCATCTCAACATTTGTATTTATGCTACATTAATCTTTTGGACATATTTCTTGACTGCCCAACACACTTCATACAACATTGCTGACTTTATAACCATTTGATAATTTTTTCCTTTTAGCCTAAGTGGTATTCTCCTAAATCTTAAGATTCCAGATGCACTGCTCTATTTTACCCATCTTGCCCTAATTCTATGTGTGGCATCCTTCTCAGTTTCTCCCTTGTTATTGATTATTGGACCAAAATAATGAAAGGATGAAGTAATGGTTATAAGGTGACTACAGAATGCATATAAGAGCAGTGCCATTATTTTCAGACACAATGTTGCATTGGATTACTGTTACATTTAAAAATTTAGTAAATTATAGCCCTTTATAGCTTTACTTTTGATGAAGTATAACTAAATTTTAGTTTACCTACATGATCCATGTTTAACTTTTGTTGTCGCTCAACTCAACTCAAAACAGCCTTGTCCCAACTTTATGGGGTTAGCTACATGAATCCTTCTCCACCATTCCATTCTTTTTTGTGCCATATCCATAGTTGAACTATGGGTCTTCAAGTCATTTCTCACTACTTCAACCCATGTCCTTTTGGCTACCTCTAGCTCTTCTAGACCTTTAACTTGCAACAGGTTACTTATTTCTATTGGTGCTTTAAGTGGTCTTTCATGCACATTACAAAACCATCTTAGTCTACTTCCGTCATTTTATCACCTATTGGGGCTACCCCTATATTCTTACCAATTGCTTATTTCTGATCTTATCTCTTTTGGTTTTCCACTCATCCATTTATACTCATGTCTCTCTAAATTCATTCCTTTGGACATGCTGTTTTTTCTTTTTTGTCATTGGCTTCTTCCTGGTGGACTCCTTGTATTCTTTGCTTTTATTTTTTATATAATATATTTTGTTACTGATAAAAATATAAGTTAAAGCTAGATGATTTTGTAGAGCCGAAAAACATCCAGTCGTATGTGTTTAACTGAACTTGTATTTAATGATGCCATACATGGTTGCTGATAGATATATTTCAAGAAGCTGGTCTCCCCCTCTGGTTGCGTCCTTATGAAGTCCTGGTTACATCTTCATACACAGCGCTTATTGAAACAATTCCAGATACGGTAACATTTTTACTTTTGAAAACTTCTATTCATGTTCCAATAAAATGTTTTAACTATAATAACATTATTTCTTACTTTTTGTAGGCCTCAATTCATTCTATCAAAAGTAGGTTCCCTAACATCACAAGCTTACGTGACTTTTTTGTGGCCAAGTATCAAGAAAACTCTCCAAGTTTTAAGCTAGCCCAGGTGATCATTTTTTCATAAGTAGTAAATGTGATTTGGTTCATGCTCTTCTTGTCAAGTTTCTTATTATTTTATGCATAAAAGGACAACAATGATGAATTGATAGTCGGATTGTTATAATGGATATCTAGTTCCCTCTTGACATTGGTCAATGAAGCTCTGGGTTTTGTTTTGTTTGTATCACATCATTTTTCCTATATTTTTGTTTGCTTATTGGTTTTAGAAAGAAGTGTGCATGGTTTACTGGTGCCATTTCCTTGCAGATGCTGCTGTCAATGGGTTGGGTCTGGTTTCAGTCAGGGTAGATCCGGACCTGACCTGATAAGTAAGTATGCAAAACCAGTTCCAAACCAGATCCCGTAGGATCTGTAATTGGGACCATCAGGTCTGACCCGATAAGACCCATTTATAATTCACAACTATACTTTTAACATGTAATTTGACAAAAAACCAACTTATTTGTTAAATTGACATATTTGGACATCATAATAGATATTTTTTTTATGGTGAAAGACAAAAATAGATGCACATGGACAGGAGAAGCACAAAATTCTAAATAAAGTCCCAGCTTTCTATATCCAAAGAAAGAAGAAAAGAGTTCTCAAATAATAGATGCACATGGACAGGAGATTGGTAGGTGAAATGTAGTTTCACTGTTTCAAATCTGAATTATCATTGCCGCCCTCTAATGCATATAGTATAACATTTAATCACTCTTTAATATGTTCTTATGTTCATTAACCTTAATGACTGTTTTAGTATTTCTATCATGATTTTACTTTTTCAGCTCACATTTGGTGTTTGCAACAAAGAGTAATTTTCTTTCCAGTCTTACTATTTCTATGAATGGACGTCCATTGCCTTGAACGTTTGGTTCTTTCAATAAAGAGCCTATTCCACCAACAATCAAGATAGAACTTCAATGCATGACCATTGTTGTATGGTCCTTGCATATTCTAGTTCTCTTGCACTATACAAGTTGGACTGTTGGAGTGATCTGGTTCTGTTGGTGCTCCACTGGTTACTTTCTGTCAGAATATTCTCCTTTTCTTCTGTCTTTCTCTCCTCTTTTCTTTCTCTTTGAATCTAGATGGTATCAGAGCAGGTTTGACAGAAGGTTGAAGCTTGTGTGGTCCTTCCTTCCTCTTCTCTTCTGTTCTGTCTGGAAATGACTACCAATCTGAAAGGGATTTGGTCATAGAACCAAAAGGATGATTGCTTGGATGTTTTCTCTTTACCTATGATGGAGTTTTGGGCTCTTGGAGTAGTAGTTCTCAGTTTTTTCTGGTTGTGTGGTTTGAGATCCATTCGGGTTTGTCTTGTGCCTTGTTTTATGGATCTCCTACAAAGTTTTTGACTCTGTGATCTGTGTAATGGTGTGTTTGGTGATTGAGGGGCTTGGTACAAAGGCGGTTCATAGAATTAGGAATGCATAATGTTTAACATGACATTAGCTATTTGAAGCAATGCAATTGGGAAAAGATAAAGAGATTGAGAGTTTTACATGCTTCAATGTTTTTATTTGTTATGCAACTTATGCTTGATTTTGTTTTTAAATTTTTATTTTAAATACATTTAACATGTTCTATTTATGTATTTTAATTTGAGATAATAGGTTTTTTAAAACTTAACTTCATATTTTAGCTAATATTATGTTTAATATTTTTTAATTTTTTTGCTTTTTGAAATTTTTAGCATTTTAAGCATTTTTGCACCTTGCTTCGAAAAGGCGTGTGCTTCACCTTGCACCTCACACCTCGTGCCACAGGTGCAAAATGCCCCTTATGCTTTTAAAACAGTGCTCCAATTGATGGTAATCATAAACTTATTGTACTTATCTATATCCAGGCCTGATACAGTTTATGCAGTTGGGGTGTTAAGCCAGTATATGCATGCTCCTAGGACCTTTTGTTTTGCTGCTACAGAGACAGCTCTTAGGTATTTGAAGAATTATCCTGGTAGAGGTATTCTTTTCTCCAAGCATGGTTACTTGACGGTAGAGACATTTACTGATGCTGATTGGGCAGGTTCAGTTGATGGCAGTGGTAGAAGATCTACCCCATGTTATTGTACCTTTGTTGGGGGTAATTTGGTGACTTGGAGAAGTAAGGAACAAGTGGTGGTTGCTAGGTTGAGTGTGAAGGCTGAGTATAGAGCCATGGCACATGGTGTGGTAGAAGTGTTGTGGCTGAAGAATATGTTGGAGTTGGGAGTTGAAGTTCAGAGTCCAATATCATTGTATTGTGACAATAAGGTTGCAATTAATATAGCCTGCAATCTTGTGATGCATGTGAGGACAGAACATATTTAAGTAGACAAACATTTCATTTGTGAGAAGATTGAAGTTGGTAAAGTCTGCATTCGTTATGTAAGCTATGTTGAGCAGTTAGGTGATATCTTCACCAAGGGTTTTACAAGTATCTGGCATGTTCACATTTGTACCAAGTTGGGAATGATGGATATATATAACCCAACTTGAGGGAGAGTGTTGTTAGGACTGTTTTTTCTAATAAGTTCTAACCAGGGGTACCTTTGTAATTTTCATATTTATTTAAACACCCTAATATATAAGTCAGTCTGGGTGCTGCCACTGGTAATTTTCTGCTAAAATATTCTTCTTTTCTACTGTCTTTCTCCCCTCTTTTCTTTCTCTTTGATTCTAGACTTATTATCAAACATAGAGGCAAATGATGTTGAGTATGCTTTATACACAAGGGTCTCTTTGCCTTTTATCAAACTTTAAGAAGGTTAACGATGTTGTGGAATCTTCAAGGGGAAAAATCTTTTTATGTTGATAATCTTTATGCAGGGAACTCCATTTGCTTACCATCTGTTTTTCATTGTACTGGATCTATAATCTGTCTAGTAGTTTAAGAAAAAGGAAAAAAAATGCATTCTTTTTCCTCCAATGGAGTTTTCTGGAGTTTCCTGACAGACCCTTCTCATCAAATGGCCAACTACTAGAACCATTAGCTCTCCATGGCCATCTTTTGTATGTTTTAACTTAACAAGTCTATTTCCTCCCTCTTTTTTTCTTCTCCCTTCTTTTCTGTTCTCATTGGATGGGTGAGATTATGGTGTCAATTATGATAACAGATGGAATGGTTTAACTGTACATGCATTAAAAAATAGTCTGATCTGGTTGTCTCAAAAAGATGCATTTTGTTTTTCCAGTGTCAAGTAGTTTGAATTTTATTGTAGCAGAACATTGTTGCCTATTTTCAATTTTGAGTAGTTTAATTTTTGTGCAGAGAAATTTTGTTGAAAGCATGTCTGGGTATTCTATATTATGCTATCTTCTACAGGTCTCTCTCTCTCTCTCTCTCTCTCTCTCACGCACGCACGCACACATGCATGCATGCATGAATACAAAAAAAATGTACACAAGGCATATTCTGTGGGCGTGGTGGCTTTTCCTAAGATCTGTGCAATGTTACCATGTCATATTGTCATTTTTGCCATTGTTTCAGTTAGTTCAACAGGTTAATTATATTGTGTTCTGTTTCTATCATGTTTTAGGAAAGCAATTGTGCATTCAGATCCATCACTCAAATAATTTTCAACACGACACCTATTTATTGACTTATTTCTTTATATTTGTGTATGTGTGTGTGGTGAGGAAGGCATTGGAAGGAGGGCGCCATCTTACTACAATGCTATCATGAGAAGTTGGATACTTGGTCATAATGATTTTCTTTATCAATGAGGAAGAGACATTAAAAAAGGAGGAAAATAAAAGAAACAAGACAGAGTGAATAGGAACAAACTATTTAGGGGGTTGTCTTCCCAAGGGGAAGTCTGTAATTTGAAACCAAGATTTGTGCATATGTAAATAGGGGCATGTAAACAAGAGCTGAATCACAGGGGTGCTTGGAACTTAAGATTTTACTTCTTTTCTTTTTCTATAAATCAAAAAAGTTGATTGTTGGTGATAAAAAAAGGCATTGAGAAGAAAAATAAAAAATAAGGTACTGGCATTTGCAATAGTAAGAGAAATCAGAACCAAGGATACCTTGGAAGATCCTAAGAACAAAATACTACCCTGTGAGAGCAGTCCTGATTTACTTCCACGTTTCCACCCCAGCCAAACTGTAACCTATAGGCTTGCTGAAATCTTGAAGTTCATCTAAATGGGATGTTTACTCTGGAAAGGCTTTTGCCTTCCAGATGAAATGCCCCAAAGAACATTTTTTTGATATCAAAGAACATTTTCTCATCTAGTTAATGGCAATCATTTCTTAACTTGCACATGGACTACCAACAAAATTATCAGTTACCAACAAACAACCTTGATCATGGGCTACCCAAGGCCTCAAATCAAAAGCCGGGATCAAGCATGTTTCAGGTCCAGGCAGAGCCTAAATCCCTGAAGTTTTTTTTTTTTTTTTCTGTTACTTTTTTTTTATGATAAGTATATTTGTCACTTCATTTTTTTCTGGCAAAATAAACATTGTTCCTTTGTATCCTATTTTCACCAAACATCTTGAAGCTGGTCAATGAACATTTGGCTTACCATATAAACAACTTAATTAGTGAACGCTACCTAGATTAAAGGCCTAGTTTTTTCTGCTAACGCAATTTCTGATATTTTAGTTTCATTTCTTTATTGATGAGGAAACAATTTGGATAATAAGGAAATTTGTCCATATACATATCTGATGGATTTTATTTTCACCTTAGCCCTTAGGACTAGATTTAGTAGGTATGTAATGGTTTGTAGTTTTTCCTTTTCATTTTTTGAACTAAAAATATCATATACTGCATCTTAGAGATTTTTGAATGAAGATTTATGATTTCAAAGCGAGTCTCCTGATGCTTCTTCTAGTCTTATGGCTTGATTTATTGGTTTTGTTTTCTCATCCACCTATTTTTGGTTTGTCCAGGTGAAGGATCGTCACAATGGAAACCTCTTGCTGGATGAAGAAGGCCATATTATACATATTGATTTTGGCTTTATGCTTTCCAATTCACCAGGGGGTGTGAATTTTGAGAGTGCACCATTTAAGTTAACTCGTGAACTTCTTGAGGTTATAATTCACATTCATATAGAGCCTTATGGTCCTTCCCTTTTTGATACAATATTTAATTGGTGCATATTTGTTGGTGTTGATATGTTGCAATCTGATCATCTTAGCTTGTGATCATTAACTGATTAAAATATTCTTCTGGTGCTAGGTCATGGATTCTGATGCTGAGGGGGTTCCGAGTGAGTTCTTCGACTATTTCAAAGTATCTGAGCACATTTCCCGACCTTTTCTTGAGTGATTTATCTGCAAATATCAAATTTTCATGTTCCCTTAGTTATGCACGTTGCTAAGTCTATATTTTGCCTTCCACCTATGCCGGCAGGTATTATGCATACAAGGTTTCCTAACATGCCGTAAGCATGCAGAGCGCATCATACTTCTGGTTGAAATGTTACAGGTAACATAACTTGGCATTTTCTAGGAAACTAGGTTTCTATCGCACTTGAAATATGAGTCTGTTTATTATGATTACTAGTTGTTGGGTTATCTTTCATTGTTGTTATTATTTGATCATAATAACATTGCCAGAATACCACCATGATTGTCTCTAAACAAACCACCAATTCGTAGGTTGCTTGAATTTCCCATACTGCATTCGTCAAAATATCATATAAGGTTCAGTGATGGTTGACGCAAATTCTAATTGATGGTAACTTCGCTTCTTGTAGAGGACAATGATGCTATGCTTTGCTATCCCCTTGTGTTCTTATCCAAGGAGAACAGGCTAAAGAGGCATGATGTTTTAACCCAATATCACTACTTTTAGCAAAATCAATCAATGCTTCTTTAGTGCATATTTTCTCCTTAAATGTCACCACATTTCTCTCTTCTTAAACTGTCCCTGGCATTGCTCCCCTGCACCAAATCTTTTCTCTCTTTTTCTTGGAGAGAAAAATGTGTTCATGTGAAGGCCTTGCATGTTCCCTAAGAGATTACACTTACATTCAAATGGAGAGAAAAAATATGAAGTAGTTTCACCATTTGCCTTGTAGAGAAAACAATTATATGGAAGACACTAAGTTCAGCCTTCTCCTTGAAATACATCACAATTGTTAATCTTCAAATGAAATATATGCCAATAAAAAGCCCACATCTGATATAGAACTTACTCTTCCAAACTGCCTTCACCTGAAACACCAAGAGGGAGTGGGTAAAAGAGGATAAAACATTAAAAAAATATGCACAAGAAAAAGACCCAACAGGATTAAGAGACCACAATCTACTATCAGGTGACAATGTATTAAGGAAGTCTCCCTCCAAAGAATTCAGCAACTCTGAACAGTAATTTCAAACCTCTTCTAAGACCTAGGTCCCATGCAGGCTCTGAATCAAAGAGGGAAAACATAAAAAAGAAATGGTTTTGCTTTTATAAAAGGAGAGATAATAGGTGATGGATTGCTTTCAAGGGAGAGACAAGAGTAGCTCTTGTAGCAAACCCCAACATCCCAACTATTGGTCATCAACCCATGGGTGCTAATGACATGTGCCATTCCATAGCTTAATTAAATCCATAGGGAACTTCCATTGCCATTTTTTCCAAGAGTGAGGAATTACTAATCACCAATCTTCCTGTACACAAGCCACATGCTTTATAAGCAGTCTCCCAATAATCAGTTGGTTTTTCTTTGTTCCTCAAGCTTTGAAAAGAAATCTTTCATGATTCTCTCCAACCTTTTTGCAATAAGCACTGAAACTCTAAAGATTGGAAAGTAGTTGTTCCTTTTTAAAGCAACAAGTTTCTTGAGTAGTAGTTCCTTTTGCAAAGGTTGATTTTATTAGGATTATTCTCCCTCCCAAGGGAATCTAGTTCTTTTTCAAGTAGCAAGGTTCTTCGAGAAGCAAATATGATATACCATATATTTGATATCTATGATATACTGTTCACTGTTTCATCGTTGCAAGGCTTTTTAATTTACATATCTTCCATCAGGTGGCATTATTTTGTCAACTATGGTCAAACCTGCATGTCCTGTGCAGTAGGAACTAGGAAGATGGGGGACACTACTGAAATTTTCTATTTAGGAAACTATGCCAATGGTAAATCTGGTTTAATGATTGCATTCTTCAATCAACTGGTTACTAGTAGTTGATTCCTAGGACTTGACACTCGAATGAATGCGATAGGTTGGATAGGTTATTTGGTAATGTTGATATTTGACCATGGAAATGTTCTAAATGAGGCCATGAGATGATTGGTAATATTACCTTGGATGTTACACATCATATAGGGTTCTTGTGACCATGGTTCAAATCTTCGAAACAGCCTCTCTCTGTATTCAGGGGAAAGGCTGCATACATCTGTCTCTCCCCAGACACCACATTGGCGGGAGCCTCGTGCACTGGGCTGCCCTATTTTGTGTACACATCATATGTGGCAAATATTATGTGCACTGGTGAACATTGTGAACATATGCCTTGGAACTAATTTTATAGGGCCATTATACGTTAAGCTTCATGAGGCCTATGACTATTGTAGGTTTATCTAACTGTATGAAAATCTAGGCCTGTTTGGCATGCTTGGTTGGATAGATGGTTGGAGAATAGAGTGAAGAGTTGGTTAAGATCTTCAGAATGGCTAATTTGATGTCCAATGGCTTGTCCAGGAATGAAAGTGGGAGGATTGAGTTGTGCTGGGGCTCTGGATGCTGAGTCTTTCTTCCCTTTCTATCTAAGATGGCTTGTTTCTTAATGTTTTTTTGTCTTGTTTTCTGCCACTTTCAATTTAGTTCATGGGGTTTTAGTTTGTCTCCTCTGCTTGCAGAGCCTTTGGTTGTTTTCAAATTTTTTTTCGCATTGACTACCACACTACTAGTGATTGAATGCAAGGGTTTAGAAGCGATAGGAAACATGGCCAAAAAGAATGTTAGTTGAGGTGGTGAAAAATTGATTTGAGGGCTCACAATTAATCAAATATATGACCCTGGACAGAGTTGAATTGTGTAGCCGACCCCATGTAGTTTAGACAGGCTTTGTTGAGTTGAGTCTCAAAATAAGAGTAAAAGTTTAATGTCTGTAAAGCTTTTCAGTTGATTGTGCTATTGATGAAATGATCCATTTTCCATCAGATTAAGCAATGATAGATGCTTTCTGTCTTGACATTTTGTGCATGTAAGATTGGAATACCTGTTTCATAGGTATGGCTTATAACATTACTTTCAAATGTGTTGGACTCAGGATTCTGGTTTCCCATGCTTTAAAGGTGGTCCACGGACAATACAGAACCTTAGGAAAAGATTTCATTTGAGCTTAACTGAAGAGGTTTGTTTTCTTTTTCCTGTTTTTGTTTTTGTTCCTTGGAACAATGTCAGGGTCTCCTTTCCTTCATTTACACATATACATCATCATACTACCTTTTTTAGCATCTAGTTAGGTTCTCAGTCATGTTTAATTATCTGAAACAGCAATGTGTGTCTTTGGTACTCTCCCTCATAAGTAGCAGCCTAGATGCATGGCGGACACGGCAGTATGATTATTATCAGCGGGTCTTAAATGGGATATTGTGAAGCTATGATGTTTCTGGTTAAGATGGGCTGGTCATGTGAAGAATTGCAACCAAAGATACTTGCCTCTATTAGAGTGCTGACAAACTTGAGGAGTTGGTACTCTCTGAGCTGGCTATGAAGTTTTTGGTTGAAGTTGAATATATTGGTTTGTGGTCTCATTCCTTCTCAGATTTGAGAAAAGTTTTGCAGATGCTAGGAAGCTACCCAGCCAAAATATGTGGCAGGGTTTCTTTCCTATTTGTTGGGTGTAATTTCAAGATGACTGTTGTTTTCTGAGACTTGGAAGAGATGCAGACCAGCTGCTCACCTTTGTCAAATTGTACAGAAGATGATTCGGGTGGATTTTTCTGAGCCAAACTACAATTGACTTCAAACTGAATGTTCCAGTTTGATACTCATCATGATACTCAAAAGAATGTTCCAGTCAAAAGAGGTGGTCTTGCTAAGAGTTCAGGCTGGTGGAAGGATCTGAAAGAGTGGTCCTTGCAATGTTTGTACATCTTAACCGTTTTTGAGTGGATTGATTCTTTGGTTGAACGTGGAGATTCTCCAAGATTGCAAAGGTCCAGTGCTGTTTCTTCCAATCAACGCTTATTAATGGTTTTATGCCTACCTTGGCATGAAACTCAAAATGTTCAAATGCCCACAAGGAAAATTGTTTATGTTGTATCAAAACGCTTGAATGTATAATATATATTTTTGCTACACTGTTTCTTGTACAAGGTAATCGATTCATTTGCTTTGATTATATACGAGTGACCCTACAAAGGTTGGTACTTTGCAGGGTTGCGTTGTGGGTACCTACTTGAATCTCTTCTACCGTGAAGGGTGTATTGATGGTTGGCTAATAACATGTGTGCTTTTCAACCCTGGAATGGACCAACATTCTAAACATCCGTTAATGAGTTTAAGTCTCTATTTCTAGTTACAGACGCAAAAGAAGAGGGAAGAACTAACACATGGTGGAGAGGCAATCCACGACTTCGGAATCAGACATGGGCGATTCAAGTCAAGCAACCCTCATCTGGCACAATAAAATAATACGAGGCTTTTGTATCTGTTTAGTATGTCTTTGATTTACGTTTATCAAACACTTTAGGCCACATTTGTTTTTTGGTTAGTCCTTTACCTGGGTGAATGCAGTTATCAAGGTATCCTATGTTCTTTTTGATCAAAAGTGGTTCTTGTTAAAGTAAAATAATTGCTCATTTTTACCTATAAAGTTTCATTATTAGAACTTAGAAGGGGTAATTTTGTTTTATAATGTTTTGGCAACTCCTGTCCTGTGTTAAACAAAATATGGGATTATTGGTAAAAAATATGGGATTATTGGTGAATGGGAACAAAACATGGGATTATTGGTGAAAAATATGGGATTATTGGTGAATGGGAACAACACTTCAGTTGACCAGCGCCCCCTCCTCCCCAACTTATCAGAAAATGAGTGGAGCCTTAAAGATAGTAATACTGGATTATGCTTCAATGTGGCTACTTGATAGTATAGGCGGTAGCCTAAAGGATGTTCAATAAGCAAGAGGAAACTGTTTTACTGGCTCCAAAGATGTATAATTTAATGGAAAACGTACATGTTTTAAAAATATGGTGAGCCTGAGACAGTGGGATAAAACTAAATTTGTAAATATATTCCAAATTAAAAAAATGGTGAGAAATAATTTAGTTGATGTTTCAATCTCTTGGCACCGATTACCACATCACTAGTGATTGGTTGATAATTGAAAAATCTTAGAAGAGCGAAGGGCAGGCCCAAAAAAGAATTTGGGCCGAGTATATCTAGTTCATGATTGATTATATGCTATTGCCGAGGGATCCGTATCTGCATGCAAGTAAATTTGAAGTATTATTGAGTTACATAGTAATCTTTAGGCTTTAATTAGTTAATTACATCTCCAGTATTTCTATGTTATTATTCACGTGGAGATGTTTCCAGTACACGTGGAATGTGGCTGTGAGGAGAGCACTGAGGAGCAGATCCCAATATGCACATAGACGCCACATGATGAGATCAGAGTGAGAAGAGATTTAGATTTCAGCCTACCTCAGAAACTTTTATTAGTTTTATAATTTTATTTACCCACACACCACCTATGATTCACTACCTGTCCACCCCCTTGTGAATTTTGACTCATTTCACCACCTATAGAGTTTGGATCTGCCAGTCACAGCATGTTTCAGCCGTGCATCGAGAACACCTCCCATGAATAAAAACTTACAATCATGGAGATGTAGCAGATATACGGCTAAAGCGTGCTGTGAGTCAGTGTGAGGCACTCTGAGGAGCAAATCTAAACTACCACCTATCACTGTTCCAATCGTACAAACTGAACTAAAATTTATAGGGTGGAGGGTGGACATTAACAATAAAAACCCCAAGTGAAAATACTCGTTTAGAGAAATATCAAAAATATGTTTCCATTAAAAATCGTCTTCACATAACCCACTTGAAAGAAAGTACAACTGATTCGAGGTGAATCAACCCAACCAGATAAAAAATTATATATTAAATTGGTTATAGAAAGATTGAAGGGAAAGATTAATAGCATATGCGGTTCTTCTTGCAAATAACCAATTAGAGGTCACATTCAAGCAGACGGAGGAAAGGCGATTCCTCCGAGGATTGGTTTTGTCAATGAAGGAATTAGGATTGTGCTAGGTTGTGTTAATTTCTGGTGAATGTACCCGGGCAAAGTTACTATATCATATCCTCCGATGAAATTTACATTTTTGATACAAAAAAAAAAAAAAAGATAATGCCATTTCTACCAAGTTTGTAGCCTCTTTCTACAATTTCGCAAACAAACTTCTTTCCATTCATAAATGCATTTCAAGCCAAACACATTTCCAACTCTTTGGTAAAGTTTGACAAGAAAGAGATTTTATTCCAAGAAAATTATGTTTGCGTCTTCCAACATTGGTATTTTGGCAATTACACTGCTGCTATGGCCTTTAAGATGATGGAATGTACAGCAAATTTAGAAGTCAGAAACCTAATGCTGTGTATAATATGGTCTTGGAAATCAATAACATGGATAAAGAATCCAATAATACAACTTTAAATGTGACTTGTCAAAAGGAAGAAAAGAAAATATAGCACGAAATGTGTCATGTTGAATAATAAAACAAACTTACTGAAGTAAGTTGTATTCATATATCTATATGGGAAAAATGTTCAAAGATCCGCTCTCCCTGGATATCTGGGGAAAGGAATGACATCTCTAATGTTGTCAATGCCAGTGGCAAATAAAACCATGCGCTCGAAACCCAAGCCAAATCCACTGTGTTTGACAGTTCCATAGCGCCTTAGAATCAAGATACCACTCGTATGGCTCAACTGGCAACCCCATCTCCAGTATCCTGCAACAATCAAATCATGCCCCCATATCAAATGTCAAGTTGTTCTCCAGAAATTTTTTTTTTTTGGTGAAAATCCAGAAATTAAAGATAAAGGGTTCGTTTCTTGGTAATTAAAAGCCAAATGTTAAACCAAAAGTGCCCAGTATATAATGGAAGCTCTAAATAACATTACTAAAAGAAAATACCTTACAAGAATTGACTCCTAATAATATATACCATTTGACACCAAGTTACGAGTTCTTTTTCATGGCCTCACAAAATATTATCCTTGGGGTGTTTGAGATGCAAGAGTGAAAAGTGCTTCCTCCCCTGCTCTCCTTGTTGGATGAAGACCTAATACCCTTTTCTTCCCAAAAGAGTGAACATGCACCGAGTCAGTGAACATCCAAGTAAGAACTAGAACTAGAAGATAGCATCAACTTACAGAATAGACTAATTACAAGACTCCAGACGGGCAGCTAATCATCCGAGCTACTAACTATATTCCTAGTAAGTTCGCAACATAACTGCTATGAACCCTGTCTCTCTGCCTATATTCCTAGTATGTTCCTTAGGCTGCCTAATTTGTCCCTTCAGGAGCACCTTCATTATGACAAAAGATGGTTCAAAATACAGTTCATATCTGTCTAAATAACATCAAACAAGAACACCTATTAATCTCTTCCTCTTATCCCTACCTCAACCATCTTCATCTCATTTTCTGTTCACCATTACTGTTGAATCAAGATTTCCAAATTCAATATCACTGCACAACACTGACTCTGTGTCTACTGTCAAAAAAAAGTAAAACACTGTTTTGTGTTTTTATAAATGTATAAAAAGAGAAGGATATTCGCCCATAACAGTATTGTATTAGTTCAATTTTTTATCAATAACACAAAATTTATTAATGAAAAGAGGAAGAGGGGAGGGGTAAGCTCCCTTAACCCTCCCCAAAAACAATATTCAGATTACAACAAAAACCCAAAATAAACTGTCCCCTTGCCACCCCTTATTTTGCAAGTGCATCAGCAAAGGAATTAGCACTTCTCTTCACCAATTGCAGCTTTATCTCCATGTCCTGGGTCAGCCACTTAAACTTCTTTTCATTGGCAAATTTCCACATCCCCATTCTCCTGTTTTTATAGCCAACCTATAATCAGCTTTAAGTCGCTTTCAACAATCAGTTTTCTGATATTCAATTCCTCTGCTCTTCTTACCCCTTCCGTTACTGCCATAATCTTAGCTCTAAGTGAGTCACCTACAAGGCTACACCAATAGATCCCAAAAATAAGGCAATAGCTTTCCCTTCCTTGTCTGTAAAAATTCCTTCAACACCAGATGGGCCCAGGTTACATTCATTTCTCCCATCAAAATTCAACTTGATGAACTCAGCTTCTGGTGGGGACCAAAGTGGACGACAAGTCAAGGTTTTGAGAGGGGCAGAATTGGCCACTTCCTTCCAGTTTCTAATCAAAACATCAGCAGTATACCAGTGAATCACTCTAATGGTAATGGTTTCAAGGATGGCTTCTCTACTTCTTTCCTTTTAAGAGAAAATTCTTTGGTTCCTTGCTTCTCAAATTGTCCAGCATATTACAGCTCTTGCACATCTCCATAAGATTTTACCCCTCTTTGTTGACCATCTAACAGAGGAGGCGGCCTACAAGCTTTGTACGTTTGGTGGTGGGACCAAACAAAGAGGCACCAATTCCAAATAGCTGAAACAAAAGGGCAAGAGATTAATACATGATAGCAGGTCTCACCATTGGCCTTACAAAGGATGCACCAATTTGAAGATAAACACCAATTGGGTTTTTTGTTTGAAGCAAATCACAAGTGTTGCACAAGAAAGGCACCAGACACCAGAGGAAGATAAAGTCCAAATTCGGTTATCCACCCTTAAAGGATCCAACACCACTCCTTCCAAAATTTGGATCAAGGACGAAATATTGTTCAATTTAGGGCCTAATTCAAAAAAAATGAATTAATTGCTTTAAATGGCTGACTTGTCGGTTGGTCTACCCGGTTTGATTAGCTCTTTTCCATTTTAACCTTCCTAGTCATTTCCTTTTCCTCCCACAGTCCCCTCCACCCACGTGTCCTCCAACCTGCCAGCTTGTCATCGTCTTCAACCTCCGGAGTCCTTCCCCACCACAACACCTCGGTCTTTGACGCCACCCACACCCAATACCAGGCTCCCCCAGAGCAAACTTTGAACGATCGGGGCAGGTTTTCTTGCTTAATTCCTGCCACTTGAACCTCGACTGCACTCAAACTACCCAACTCAAATCAGCTGTTCCATTCCCCTCCCCTTGATCCTCTTGATCTTTCTATTCAATGCCTTTGCCAAGTTGCTCCCCTTCCTCTGTTTCCTTTAGCTTTGCAG